GTTCCCTACTTTGATTACTTCTGAGCATAAGAACTGTCCTATCAAATGCTTCATTTAAGCCAAATGCTGGCAATGAGTATGCCATAATCCGATGTTCCATTGAACTGAGCTTCGATCGCATCACATGCACATCATCCCCGGAACCATCTATCTCAACCACAACCTGCAACGACGAGCCACCCAAATCAACAAGTCCCAAAGTGGGAGACTCAGGATAGCCATCAAAGCTTCCCATTTTGTAGTTCAAAGCCACCCAACCATAATAAGCTTCCTCCCTCCCACTCAAAACCCTTATCCAGCTCTTGTTAAACATAAGGGAGTGATCCTTCACAACAGCCTCAACATCTTCCAACACCCGGTCAGCATCCTCCCTGGGGAGCCTCCTCAACCCAGCAGTGGCCAAGACAAAAACAGGAGTGTCACTGCGCATTTCGCGCGGCACAAGATGTTCTGCCCACACAATCAAAGGCTCCAATGCCTGTCTCACTCCTAAAGAATCATTAACAAAGTTTTGTAACCCGGGTTCAGTTTGCATACAGTGGTATTGACAAGAATTTTTCCAAAGGGAACTCTTGGTTGCATTATCAGGATAAGAGTGCAACAACACTGGCAAGTTCCCTTTGCTTATCCCCCCTAACCCTACCATCCACTCATAGACATTCACACGTGTTCCAGTGCTTCCACAATCCACAACCACAGTGTAATACGAAGACGGATTGAATTTTGCGGTATCTGACTCGAGATAAAACCCCAAAAACAATAGCAGCATTACCAAAACGACTAAACCTAATTTTATGAGCCATTTGTGGTTGGCGATTCGTTTATATTTGGAAGGGGATTTGGGGACTTCCATTAGAAAAATGATGTAACGCGCATTTCAAAAACAAGGTTGAGATGAGATCAACTTTACTAGTTGTAGTTGATAGAGTTGAGGACAGAAGATGAATTTACCTTGGCTATGAAGTTGGTGCAGTTTGATCCGTGATTATCTGATGGAAAACTCATAAACTGTTAACAGGACTGGGGACTCTGAAGATCGGGGTTGATCACGAGAAATTTCAATTCTCTTTTTTCCCTTTTTCGGAGAATTTCACTGTTTCATTGTTTGTTTTGTACGGTAAATTTATAGTTATGGGTTTTTCGTTACAAATTTATGAAAATATTTTGTATTTTTTAACTACGATTTTTAAAATTTTAAAAATATATAGGATTACAAGTTATTTTTTTATAATCAAAATTACCATGAGACCAAAGTTCGAACGCAGTACTCTCCAATTTCATGAATGGATTTCATGTTAATGTTATTAATCTGGCTAGACAAATCAAATTAATTCATTCTTTATTAGGCAAATTTTATTTGAGTTTGTTAAAAAAATACAAATTTAAAGCAACTAGAATCATTTAATTTAACTTTAGTCTTATTATTATAGTCTATAGTCTTATTGTTATTCTCATATAAAAATTTTAGTTTGTCTTGAAATATTTATTATTTTTTGTGGTAATGTTTTTATTTATTAGTATATTAGGTAAATAGTTAATTAATTTATAATCACATTCTAAAAAATTGGATTTTTTTAAAAGAAAAAATATGTTGAAAAAAATAGTATATTTGGGATTACAGCTAAACTTTGTAGAAAAATTTTTTTTTCTTCCAAGAATAAGAGTGTGATTGATTTCTAGTTTTAAAAAAATAAAAGTACGTCATTTGAAAATTTCTTCTCACATACTTTTTTGTTTAGTTGTTTAGGAATATGTGCTACCAATAAAACAAACACATATTAAATTATTTTCATATATCTAAAAATTTAAAATTTATTATTATTTTTCATAAAAAAAATCTCAGTAATAATTTATTACGGAAAATTTTCTTTAATATTTAACTAAAATCAAATATCTTAAAATTATTTTTCAATGAAATTATTCAAACAAAATTTCATTCTGATTATAATCTATGATAATAATAATTAATTATGCATATAATTAATTATTAAAATAATTTAATCTTTGCCGTTTTTCAATTGTACTCGTAAGTCGTAATATACCATAAAAAACTCGCTTATATAATAAATAATTTTAATTAAGGTTAAAATAATTAATAGTTAATATTATGTACACATAAATAATGAATTATAAATATATTAACTATTGATTTTTTCTTCTACCTGAATTGCCACTTGATTTGCCAACGAAATGATAGTAGACTTAGGATGCGTTTGAATTACTTTCTATCCAACGTACTTCTTTTTCTTTTTTTAATTCATCGATATTGTTATTTCTCTGTTTTATATTTTAGAATACCCAAACAAATGTTTAAAGAGATATTTTTTTAATAATTATTTTAGTTTTTATATTTTTTTTAACTATTATATCTTTTTATTTTAAAAAAAATAGAAAAAATAATATTTTTAATCAAATTCAAAGACTTAAAATTAATGAATTAATTATATATCATAATATACTTTTATTACTTAATTTTTATTTTTATTTTCATTTTTAATAAATACACGTAGTATTTTGACTCTGTAAGTTTTTTAATGATTATTTAAACATTTAATTAATTTCTATCTTTTAATATGTCCACAAATACTTATAACAAAAAAAATAAAAAATACAAATATAAATATTTTTTTCTAAATTGCATTCATAATTGTGAATTAAAAATTATGATAAAATTAAATTTACGTTTAATAAAAGTATAAATTAATTATAATATCATCAATCAATTTTTCAAATAAGTGCGATCTCATTCATTGACGGATCTATAAAGAAGAGAGTGGGGACACATGCCCCCACTACCATTTTACACACACACACACATATATATATATATATATATATAT